CATCCATCAAATCCATGTCTCTACATCCTCTACCACTGAAGAAAGGCACACAGACTATTCCATTTCTTAATCCATCGTACCAAAGCTGAAGTGCTTTATGCAAGTAAGTATTCCCTGAATTAGGAGCTGGAAACTTGTCTTCAGTACAAAAATTGTTCTCTGGCCCACAGCTTCTAATGAAGACTCTGGAGACACCCAAGGCATCTCTCTCAAGCCTTTTGGGCTACATCTTCTCCTGGTATCTAGATGGCACACTAACCAGAACCCCTAGTCTAATGAGCTGTTCAAAACTGGTGTTTAATACAGACATTGAAAGCAGTTCCCTGCCATAAGCACTTCCAAACCTGCAATGCCAACAGACTTCCACTGAAGCAACTTAAGAACTCCTTGTCTTGGCTCCACGCAGTCTCACGTGCTCCAAAGACTTTACACAGCTCTGGGCCAGAGCCTTTGCACTTACAACATCAGTCACAAGCCTCCTTGCCCACAGCCCTCCTGGGGATACACATACATCAGCCACGTACCCATAGCCACAATAAAAATGAGATGCTTTCACACGCCCTGCACAGCTCCTAACACTGCAGTGAGTTTCCTACACACGTCCTGACACCTCACGAGGGATCCAAGCAGCAGGACCCATGGGCCAAGGCCTGTTATGTCTGCTCTCACTCACCTCCATATGATCTGGCTTCTGTTGCACGGCAGCCTCAAAGAGCAAGACAGCATTGGGAAGGTCGCCTTCCTCCAAGCGCTTCCGCCCCTCTTCAAATGCATCCGGGTGATCTCTCATGGGATTATCTTCCTCAAACTGGTAACCCTAGCAGGGCAGACAGACAGGGGTTAATGCCAGGAGACCGGCTTAGGGAGAAGAGCATTCTCTGCAGTACAGCACAGTCAAACCTAGCTGCATCAGAACCACTCGAGCTGCAGACTAGCCAGCGCCTTGTCCCTTCTGCTAGTCTGCACCAGGTCAGAGAACAACAGCTCTTCTTCGTGCCTGCTCTGTGCAGAAAAATTCCCCCAGACCGCACCTGGAGTAAGTTACAAAGACCAAGTGTCTGGCGTGGGTCCTATCAGCTTAACCCTTAGCTGATCTGGGATGAGGGTGCAACTGACAGCAGAAGAGCAGCGCAAGAAGGAATCCTACCAGCACCTGGGGTCTGTGGAGCTCACCTCCGAGGCAGACATACCACCAACCTCCTCAGGGCGGTCCGTCACAGCGCTAGGGCTGAGAGACCCTGTTCTCTGTTACCTTGTCATATGACGAGGAGCTGAGGTCTTCATAATCAGAGAGCCAAGGGTGAGCCTCTGCATCTCTCTTGGCCATCTCCTCCCATTCTGCCTGGAGCTTGTCCCAGAAGTCCACATCTGACTGAAGGGAGAACAGAACGTGACTAGAGTACCTCAATTATAAACAAATTACATACGGACACCCCAGAGAACACCCTTTTAAATGTTTCTAGCCCTCCTCACAGCATGCAAAGGGGAGGTAAGCCTACCATGGGCTCTCACAGTTGGTACACCAGCCCTCCTCCTCCATCGAGCTTTACCTCCACAGCAGTCTTTGCCTGCTCAAATTCCGTATCAAGACTTGACACGTTCCCAGCTCGTGCAAACTGATCCACCCAGGCATCGGATGCCCCCTGGGAATGTGGAAACAGAAACATCTTTCTTTTTAGAATCTGACAACCTCAGGGCACATCCCAAAACAGCAGGAGGGTCTGTGATGATCCCTCCTCCTCCTCAGCAATAACTGATGGCCTGTGAAGTGGACAAGAGTCCATTTGGATATCCCCTCCCTCCCACATGCTATAGGGGATGAGAGAACTCACACTGCCCAAATACCTTCCCAGATTCTGGCTAGACTCTGCTAGGAAGAGCCCAACAGCCCCTCCCTCACCACCCCCACCCTAGTCATTAGAGCATTGTGGAGAGTTGGATCTGCCATTCTCCCTTGCTCCCAGACTGTGCCCTGTGGCAAAAAAAACTTTCCTCCTTTCGAGCACACAGGGCTGGGGCTCCTACCTGCTGCTGTATAAACTCAGCTGCCCATTGCTCTGCCTGATCTTGGTCTCTGTGGGTCACCTGATTAGCTTCGATCGATACCCTCCCATCTCCGATCTGGCGGACAAACTTTAAGAACTGTGGCAGAGAAACGAAACAAGGGTGGAGCTGGGCAGATGCCTGGCCAACAAGCCCTCTGCCCGCGCCCCCCTCCTTCACTAAGGGGGCTTCTCTCTGCAAAGGGAGCACAAGAGGCCTGAAAAGGTGAGGAGGACATGACTTCAGAGTCATGTGGTAGAGAAGGATAATATCTAGAGTGGATTATAGGGTTCAACTTCTAGGAATCAGAGAAGAAATGGAAACATGGGACAGGAGGAGGCTTTATTCCTTCCCTGTCTTCTCCCTTCTCAATTCCCCACACTCATTCACACTAGATATGTCAGCCCCAGTCAGGGAGTTTCTTACCTCAGAATTCTTGAGTTTGGGATCATCCACTTTAGACAGGAAGTCACTAACAGTTTTCTTAAGATCATCCTCAGGTTGATATTCCTCATACCTGTGTTCAGAGGCAGTAAAAGGGACAGAGTCTGGTACCAGGCAACAGCAAACTCTTTCACTAACAAGGGTCTACAGTACTGAGGGATACAACCCCTCCTCAAAGGCTCCGGGGTTCTCCCAAGTGACTCAGTACCTTTATCCAACTGTAAAAATTCAAAGTTACTACCAGATGACCTGTGCAAGCGACTGACACAAACAACAGCAGAATTAAACAGTGACAGCACTGCTCTGCAGTACAGTCTGGATTCCCCTGCAAGTTCACATGCTATCAGACATTCCAAGTGCTAGCACTACCACAAACAAGGTCACGTATCTAAGAACAAAGAAAGTAGGTCATGCTCATGGAAAAGAAAGTGTCTTGGAAAAGCACCTACTCCGCCGAGGATTGAGGGCTCACAGCAAGCACAGGGCCCAGTATGCTGTCTGGCTTACAGCAGGACAGGACCCGTTCCAGGTGTTACCACTGCATTCAGTCTTGGAGAAGTCTTTGGAACTGGCAGCAATAACTCAGGAATGTCCATATTTGCAGAAAGGTATCAGAAAAGGCAAGAGCCAGGAGGAAGGAGAATCCAAATAAGCAATATTTCTTTTAGGCAAAGATCTAAGCTGCCCAAATTGCTTGCTTGTGTTTTGCTTCAATTGAAAAACTTGACTGTAGTCAATAGAGAAGATCCATAGTAGTAGACTGTTCTTTAATCACAAACACATGAAAATTATGTCTGGAAAACTGAATCCAGAAATATAGAGAAAAAGGCTGGATGTGGTTTGTCAGCTGGCACAGTGACAGTTTACCACTAGCAGAGTCTGATACTTGAGATCTCTAAATCTAGAACAGCATCTGCTGTAGAAAAACGTTCTGCCTGATTAGGAGTTCCCGAACTCGGTCCTGAAATCGCTTGAAGGAGCTTTGTATTAGGCATGAGGTTAAGTCGGCCTACATGATCACAGTGTCTTCCTGGAACCAGGAAACAGAAAAGCTAGGATCTCTTAACAACTTCAGTCTCCAAGCATTGTTTCCTCCTTTCTCTGAAATCCAAGGCCTAAGAACATCAATCCAGGTTAAATGACTCAGAAGTACTCAGGCCGTAGGTGGTTTCTATCCCCTATCCAAACTTCACCCACCCAAGTGCCCAGCAGCAATAACCAGTATTCAGAAGACAGACTCACCATTTATCTGCCAAGGACTGGTCTTCCGATTCCCCAAGCCACAGTTTCTCCTCTGACTGCTCTAGGTATTCTTCCGCCCACTTGGCAGGAGACACAGACAGTGGATCTGCACAGCACGTCAGGAAGAAGGGGGAGAAGAGCAAGAGAGGCGGATCATCACTCAGACTGACTTCAGATTCTGCTCTCTCCATTTTACACACCGGCAGCTAACGCACAGAGAAGACCTCTTCAAAGAAAGATGGGTTATGCTTGCTTCTTCTAACTTTGTTTATTCTGATCTAAAAAAGATCAAGCCTTCTGTTCAGACTGCGTATTAATACAGATGCCACTGGGGTGCCAATAACCTTGTGATTTTCTACTTGAATTTCACAACTTACCTGCTCCATTTGGGATACTACAGAGGTCAAGAACACTAGCCATGCATTACAAGTCTCTGTCAAAAGCACAGCCTTCAAAGCCATAGGCTTTCATCAGAACTTTCTCCAAGACCTCTGTAGATGCTGATTTCTGTTCCCAGAAGTATAAAGATCGAAGGTCAAAGAATGGGACTACCTGGCTCTCTACAGCGGCCATCCCTGGAGAACAGCATGTTTAAGTCTTACCCATAACTTCCAAATCTTATAACATCCAGGTCATGAATGGTAACAACACCCTATTCCAGCCCCAGCTCTATAAACCATGCAGGATGGTTTTTCAGATAAACTGCTGGCTTGCTTGAAACAGAAAGCTTAACCTTTAGGCTAGAAGCATTCACTTTGCACATTTCCAAGGTGCAACATCCCTCTACCTCCATGAAACCGACAGAGTATTTGGCCAAAGCAGGCTAAACAAAATTTACCATTGAACCAAAGGCAGATTTAAGCCTTGAGAGAGGGAACTGGAGAGTATGTAAGCAAGAAGCAGTATCAGACCATCTCCAGAATTTGCATCAGTTCAATCGTAAGAGTTGTTTTAAAAGCAGTTTGAAAACCCTGCTTCTCCTAAGTTCTCCAAGCAACCTAAGCTAAAAACAAATCAGCCTTAGACCTGAATAAAAGCCTCCACACTGTTCACAGCTTGGCTAAGCCATTGCAAAGCAGCTTTCCCCCCACACAGACACACACACACATTAAAGCTGCTACTCGGTCAGTAACCCTCCGCTACACACAGGCATGTGACTGGGCAACATCTTGACAGTAATTCCAAAAGGGACCCTTCACCTGTCACTTCAGCAATGAACTCCTGTGACCAGTCAGCCTCATTATAATCTGAAGAGACATCACCAGCACCATCTGCTGCAGCCAAGAATTCCTGGGTCCAGTTTTCAGACAGGGCCAGGGCTGCCACACCTGGAGCTACAAGAAGAAAAAAAAACAGAGAAGTGAGGATTGGAGGACTCAAAGTCATCACTGAAGTGTTCCAGGCTAACCCTCACCATCGCTCATCTTTCCCTGTGTTAGGACAATGTCACAGACAGATCCCACTTGGAAGGCATCTCTGGAAGTTGCTCGTGTTCTCACAGCACGTCAATACTGAAGCTAGAGATTAGGTTGCTCAGGGCATTCATCAGGTACCTTCTGAATTTGTCCAAGGCTGACAATTCCCCAGCCTCCCTAGGCACCTGTTCCAGTACTGAACCACCCAACAAATGAACAAATGTTTCTTTATATCTGGTCAGTTCCCCTTTCCACAAGTTGTGTCCATTGCCCCCTGTCCTTTTGCTGTGTACTGCAAAGATCCTGGCTGTGGTTGCTGAAAACAGCAACTAGACACTCCACCCCCCACCACCACTGCCCCTTAGACTCTTCTTCCCCAGGCTGAACAAACCCTGTTCTTCAGCCTTTCCTCTTACATCACGCACTCCACTCCCTGCACTGATCTCCACTGGACTTGTTCCAGTATGTCAGCGTACTGGGAAGCCCAAATCTGGAAACGACACTCCAGCTACAATTTCACACGTGCTGAATACGTAGGAACCACCCTGCTAGCAGCTTAGCCATAACACCAAGATCTTTTCCAGCTCTCCACCTACTCTATCTCACCTCGCTGAGGAGCCTGTCGGAAACTTGACTGTTCAATCTCTTGCATCTCGGCCAACAGGTCGTCCATCTTAAAGGTCTGGGGTGCACGGGACAGTAAAGGGGCATTCTGCTCTTGCAGGAACTCTCCAACCAGCTGCCAAGGACAGATGTGGATTACAAACTTAGCACAGAAAACAGGCAGGCAGAGCCACGGAGCACAAGAGAAAGAAATGGGTTTGTCATAAGAAAAGTTAGTACCAGATATAGGGAAAAACAGCTGGGTTGATAAGAAATGCACTAAGGAGATGCAACAATCTATTCTTACCTCATCTTCGGTGGCCACTCCCAGTGGTTTGGATACCTAAAGGGAATAGCAGGCAATTATCCCAACAGCAGCATTGACCCCATACCCAGTGACCGCATTAGTTTACATCATCTTCATCCCTGAGCTTAGGCTATCAGCATTTTCTTGCATTAGCTGCCCACTAAGAAATGCACTAAGGAGATGCAACAATCTATTCTTACCTCATCTTCGGTGGCCACTCCCAGTGGTTTGGATACCTAAAGGGAATAGCAGGCAATTATCCCAACAGCAGCATTGACCCCATACCCAGTGACCGCATTAGTTTACATCATCTTCATCCCTGAGCTTAGGCTATCAGCATTTTCTTGCATTAGCTGCCCACTTACGTGGAAACTAAAGGATGAGGAATGCCTTGTGTTATAACATCCAACCCCCTTCCCACCACTGGCTGGGTTAGGG